AGTGTCGTGTTCGACTCGACTATCGTGTTCGACTCGACGATCGGGCAGTGTCGTGTTCGACTCGACTATCGTGTTCGACTCGACGATCGGGCAGTATCGTGTTCGACTCGACGATCGAGCACGATCGTGTTCGACTCGACGATCGTGTTCGACTCAACGAGCATGTTCGACTCGACTGTCGTGTTTGACTCGACAATCAGACATCGGGCGCGATCGTGTTCGACTCGATTGTCGGGCACTGTTGTGTTCGACTCGACGATCGGGCATGATCATGTTCGACACGACGATCGGACACGATCGTGTTGGACTCGACGATCGGGCGAGATCGTGTTCGACTCGACGATCTGGCACGATCGTGTTCGACTCGACGACCGGAAGTGCCACATGGCGTTACGTGGTTGCATCTCGGTTGTGTGGTTGTGTCCTCACTGTCCGATCCTTCAAACTCGGGGTGCTCCGCTGTGGTTGTGCGTCGTGATCTTGGGCTGTATGCTCGCTCCGTCGTCGCGCTGAACACGCCTCTCGACAGCGCTGTGGTCCGCCGTCGCGTCGACCAGGTGGTCTGTTATGCATGGACCGAATCCCTGCGCTCCGTTGCCGCGCTGTACACGAGCCTCCACTGCGTTGCGCTGCGCTACTGCTGCATTGCCGAACTGAAACGAAAATAGGAACTGGTGACCCTCCCTCATATATATAGTTTTTCGGGAGGGCCCTTCGCGGGTACCTGCTGGCCGTGTGATCCAGGGATACTGACGGTCGGGATGTTCCAATGGGGAGTGGTGGGCCTGCCTCATATATGTGGTTTTCCGGGTGGGCCCTCTGCGCGCGCCTGCTGGCCGTCCGATCCGGGAATACGAACGGCCGGGACGATCCAATGACTGCAGTCGGCCGTGATCGTTTTCCCCCCTTGGCCAAAGCAGAGGCGCGGGGATGACGTTCAGCTGCAGAGCAGAAATGCGATTCGCGCACATGAGTACCCGCGACATTGTGTCATTGTTCGCATTCTGGGAGAATCAGAGCAGCGGTCCAGGTTAGTGCCTCTTCATTGTTCGCATTGTTGTCATTGTTCGCATTCTGGGACACAATGACACCACAACTGCCCCGCTCTCCAGGTTAGTGCCGCTTCGGCCAACACGCCCCCCCAAAGAAAGAGAAAAGCCTGCGTGGACGGCCGTGTCCAGTGCTGGTTTATCGGTGACGTCAACTAGTTTTCTCGAACACTTTCACCGCAGTCATCGTCGTGTCGAACACGATGGTCGACACGGTCGTCGATGTGTCAAACACGATGGTTGCCGTGTTGAACACGATTATTGTCGTGTCCGACACGCTGGTCGTTGTGTCAAACACGATGGTCGTCGTGTCCGACACGGTCATCGTCGTGTCGAACATGATGGTCGTTGTGTCGAACACGATCCTTGTCGTGTCGAACACCCTAGTTGTCGTGTCGAACACGATCGTCGTCGGGTCGAACACGATCGCCATCGTGTCGAACACGGCCGTCATCGTGTCGAACACGCTCGTCGTCGTGTCCGGCTCGTTGTCGTGCACAGCCGTCGTCGTGGCCGACGTTGTGTCGAACACGGTCGTCGTCGTGTCGAACACGACCGCCATCGTATCCAGCACGGCCGTCTTCGTGTCCGACACGATCGTCGACGATGGTCGCCGTGTTCGGCACAATGGTCATCGGGTCGGATACGGTGGCCGTCGTGCCGAGCACAGTGGTCGTCGTGTCCGCCACGGTCAAACGAGGTCTTGGTCGTGTCGAACGCCATCACGGTCCTGTCGAACACCCTGCGCTTTTTTGCCACGACCCCCACCTACGTTTCGACTTGCACAGAGTTAAGTGCGAGTTGCGCCAGCAGAACATAGTGCCCGGGTAGCTGTCTTTTGTCTCTTGTAGCACTGACTGCTTGTTGCGAGATTGCGACACGACCCCCACCTTGTAATATACAATGGAGCTCCTGTCGTGTTGGGCGCGACATTGGTGTTGCCTCAGTCGTTTGCCTTCTAAGCCTGGCCATCTGGAAACTCGTCATGCGCCGTAGAACGAACTCTGCGCGAATTTTGCTTCGAATCCTCGGAGTCTGGTACCCGGGAATCAAGACGGGGGACCCTTCCATGTTGGGCGAGGCGGTCGCGTTGTTCCTGCTCACTCATGGCAGTTTTCCTGCCCGCTCTTCGTGGGTGGTGAGTACCACATGTACCGGGAATCAAGATGCGGGACCCTTCCGTGTTGGGCGAGGCGGTCGCTTTGCCACGATGGTACGGTCGCGTTGCCACGATGGTATTCCTGCTCACTCGTTGCAGTTTTCCTGCCCGCTCTGCGTGGGTGGTGATTACCACGCGTGTCCAGTCGTTGTAGTTCCTGGAGTAATATAGATTTTTTTCTATCAATGCCCTCGTGCCAAGCTGTGTGCTGCGCGCCAGAGTCTTCGCCGTTCCATTGTTGGTGCCCGCCGGGTTTTGCACGTCGTGGTCTCTACCTTAACGAAGCTGGTGCCCGACGTGACATGTTTTGCGTTTCCTGTTGCGCGTCAAGATCTCCGCCTTTTCATGTTGTTGCACGCTGTGTTTCCAGTTGCTGGTGCCCTGACTCGATATGCGCTACGCTTCCCACTGTCGTTCGATCTCCGACTTGGACAGACTCTTTCGCGTGTATTGCGCCTTTGGCACAGATTGGGCCTGATGACTGGATTGGTGCCCAGATTCCACGGTCGTGTGTTATCCTTTCTCGGATGTTTCCTGTTCCCCCCCGTTCAGTGTAGGGTTGTGTTTCTCAGGGTCATTTATAGGGTTGTGTTTCTCGTTGTTGTGTAGGGATGTTTGTCTGTCTCATTTCATTTGACAGTGGTCTGCTGTTTTGTTGTCGCAGACACGTCTCGTGCATGGCTTGTGGTGTGCATGTTATGCCACGGCAGGCTTGCAGCATAACCTTGGAAAGCATGAACTGTGTGGCGTCTAATACAATGCTCAATGAGGATTTTCCTCCACCGCACCTGCCAGTGTGTTCACAAGATGTTCGAAGTGGTCACGAACATGTCGATAATGCTACGGAATTTTCTGCTCGTAAGAGGTCACGAAAATTGTGTGTGCGGACACTACATGTGAAAGTGCGTATCCCATCCTTCGATGCCCGGTTCGAACCTGTGATGCAGAGAGTGCTGAAGGTCAGGAGGGTAAGGCCTCCTCTACTGACAACGACGCATCCGATGTAGATCGTGTCGTATGGGTGCCGAGGAGTTCACTTCGAGATTTCGAGTACACAGGTCTTTTGTTTGGTGAGAGTGATGAAGGTGGCTCAGATTCAAGTGCTTCGGTGTCGTCTAGTGCTGATAGTTCTCCAGATAAAACCGATCTTCCGCAAACGTACGCTGACCGGAACAGTGACCACTGTTGTCGAAATGGCGATGAAAATTGTGACGTGATCTCTGATTACGATGACATTTTTCCAAAATGTCTATCCTCAGAGAAGCGTCCTTATACTTTTCGTCTCAGAATGCCGTGGTCAAAGAAGATTCTACAATCAGTTCATAGAAAACTCACCAAAAAAGCACTGGCGAGTGTGCGTGGGCAGGTTTGCTGTAAGCGAGAGTATTGCGCTCCAATGACCCTGGACAACATCAAAGCTGTCCGGAGCGCATACTACTCTAAGAACCAGCAGAGCAGGGATGCCTGGTGGGTTGAAACGTTGAAGAGGTTCACCTTCATAGAAGATGAAAAGGAGATTGTTCAACCTATTGTGGGGAGACGAAAGGTGTGCAGTAGTGCTTGGTGTTTCACACTGGGTGTATATAGGAATACATTTCTCAAAAAAAGGATGACTTTGTCTCAAGGCTAAAATATGCCGGAGCATGGCAGTACTCGATTCAGACGCACATCAGCAACATATGCAACGATGTACGGAAAATTAAGCTCCTTCGTGCGAGATAACGAAGATTCCATGCCCAATGACATGAAGATCAAAGAGGGGGAATCAAGAGTGGTGTTGAGATTGTCTCCTTGCTATAACAAGGTTGATATTTAGAAGTTGCTAAAGTCGCAATTCGACAACGTGGGTGCTCCTTGTGTTTCTCTCCAAGTTTTTTACAACATGTGGAGAACGCAGTTTTGGCATGTGAAATTTCATGACATTGATCAAAACTTTGCGAAATGCGAGAAATGTGTTGAATACAAAGAATCTATCAATTCCGCAAAGTTCGTGCGTGTGCGTGAGTACTTTGTTTCGTTACACGAGAAACACTTGGACTTGCAACTCCAACATCGTGCTGCGTATGAGGTGTGGAAGGATGAGTCGAAGAGACCGGGTTCCAACAGTTGGTGCATCATCATTGACGGCATGGACCAAAGCAAGACGAACATTCCACACTTTGGCGGAGAGAACAAATCGAAGGCATTTGCAAATATTTCGATGTTGAAAACGAATCTAACAGTTATTATTGCACACGGCCGCTCACCATCGGTCCATGTTCACACATGGTACCCTTGCTATCCACATGATTCAAATGATGTAGTGTCATCCATTATGAAAGTTATCCGCGACATCCAGGCGACGAGCGACTTGCCTCCTAAACTGAGGATACAAGCTGACAACTGTTGGAGAGAAAACAAAAACAAATACGTTTTGGCAATCGCTGCAGCTTTGGTGAAATTTGGCTTCTACAAAGAAGTCGAATTCGGTTTTATGTTAGTGGGACACACACATACGGACGTTGATGCCACTTTTAGTCATTTCTCTCGCAAACTGAAAATGCACGATGCATATACCATGCTCAACCTCTTCAAGCTCGTTGCCAGTTCTCAAAAAGAACGTTCATCGTGCACATTCATGGATGAAATTGTTGATTGGCGAGCTGCTGTTAAGCCCTTCCTGGTTAAGAGACTGATCGGTCATACTCGTCCACATGCATTTAGGTTTTATATGCAGAATGACAATCCTGTTTTCTTGTGGAAAGAGTATTGCACGTCTCCTGAATGGTCTGCTCCAGTCTATTGCTTTAAACGAGATGGAAACAAAGCATATATTGGACCCGAATGACCATTCGTGCCATCACCTGTTCCGCCGTCAGCTTCTCTACCTACTAAAGATAGGAATTCGGATTTTGAATCGAGAATTGAAGGTGTGAAGATGTTTGTTGGGTGGTTGGAGAACAAGCGGCACGAGTGGTTGAGAATGAAAGATGAGGTTAGCTTCTCAAAGGAGAGTGCTCTTTCACACTGGAAAACTTTCCTCGAGACAGTCGAGGAGCATTACGGGTCTGGGTTTGCGAAAACTTCACTCAAGGCTGGGTTCAGACCCTCACAAGACAAAATTAAGAAGGATGATCCAAATGATATTGATATTGCCTTCCTCTTGAAGAGCAATGAGAATAAGGAGCCGTTGTTCGTTGGACCGGCCAATGAGCGTCCAAAAGCGGAGCTCAACCCAGTTGTGGATGTCGAAAAAGGTCAATTCGTTCTCTTCCGTCCTTCCCAAGATGATATCGATGAGGGAGTTCCTGTATGGATGGGTAGAGTCATTTCCGATGTAGACAACGATATAAAGTCGTCAACTTTCAATCATATTCTTATTGAATATTGGGTGCCACAACCTATTGCTAAACGTCTTTCTGTGCAATATTCGAACGCATGGAAGAAGACGTGGAAGAAAGACAACACAACATCACAGTAGGGGCAGCATGTAGACTGTGTTGTATGGAGTTGGACATCAAAGATATTGCATTTCGAAAATGGAGTGCACATTCCAAAATCGGTCAGAGAGAAGACTTTGGTATGCCTTTCACTTCCCGATAATGAAGATCAGTAGGTTTTCAATAGGTTTTGAAGAAGAGTTAATCGTATTTCTTTACACGTATTAGTACGTTATTTAGTTGTCATTGAACTTTCATTTATATATATTTAAACTGTATTTTCATGTGTTGCAGAATGGTTCAACCATTTGTGACGACTAGATGGTCGCCAAGTAACATGGTGTGGAGAAGAAATATATAGCATAATATGGGTTCAGTTTTCTTCACATCTGAAGTGATCTTTGACAGTGCAGTACTCAGTGTTAGAGGTGTGGATGCCCCACCGGAAGACTGGGAACATTCTCCTCGAGAGTCACTGTATATTTGTGGTCGGAGGTGTTGTGGAACGAGAACATACCCGCGAGAAGTGCTCGCACCCTTTTCGGAATTGTATTATTCAGCAGTCAAATTCTGCCACAACAATTTCAACGTGATGACCTTGTTTTGGGCAGCGGCAACTGTTCGAGGTTGGTGCAAAGTATCTTTCTTTATTTATAATGACTATTATGCAAGTGCAAGTGTTTCCAATGCAGACAACATCGATGAACGACGATGGCAAGAATTCTGAAGGAGGATCATGGAGCAACCATCACTCAAAATACTCATGGATGGGCTTGTGGACAAGGCCATCAAATATTTGCGAAGTCTCCTGTTGCGCGAATATGAAGTAATAGAAAGTTATATAGAGTACAAGGACCCGGCGTTTGACGGACAAACTGATACCATCATTGTAGAAGATTGGACAACTTAGACAAGGACAGACTGAAATGTTGTCTTGATCGCATTAGTTTATCCCTGTAGTCGATCTAATTACTAGGCTTATTTTGCCTATTTTCGGAGTATCATTTCTGCTTTGCATTTAATTTTATTTTTCCTCT